GGCCTGGAGCTCACTTTGCAGCGCAGGTTGGTCTGGAAACAAGGATCCTCCCGCCTCAGCCTCCTGAGCGCTGGGATAATACAAAGATTATTAATGTCCCTGTTGCTTTTATTTTTTAATGTTGCCACTAAGAAAAGTTAAATCACATGTTTAACTTACATTACACTTTGATTATACCCACGATGCTAGCTAGGTCCTTGTCTATACAGTTACACACACACACACACACACACACACCCATTCCATACATATAGGTACCCAATTTACCTGTACTACACCTGCATCATATATATATATATAATTATTTTTTATTTTTTATTTTTTTGTTTATTTTTAGTACAGGGTCTACAGGTTCTCATTACACAGATCAGACTCTTTACTCTCCTGTTTTCAGCCTCCCAAGAGCTGGAATTACAGGTGTGCCACCACAAGTCTCAATCACAGTCTCAGCACGCCCTGGGGGCAGGGCCAGTATGGCACACTGGGGACGGAACCCCACGTTCTGTATTTCTATTTGTGGTGCTGAAGATTATACCCATGCTGAGCATGCCCTCCTCTGCTGAGTTACACTCGAAATCTGGGCTTTTTTCTTACCTTGGTGAGATCGGGATTTCTAAGTTTATTTATTTATTTTTTTTCTTCACTTACTGATTGTGCTATGGAAGTTCTTACAGATAAAAAATAGATTTTCTTTTTTATACCTAAATGTCATCAAGTCTTGATTTACCTGAAGCTGAGCTTGAGCCTGGGGAGTTTAGGGGTTGGTGTGGTGGTGTACACCTGTAATCTCAGAGCTTGGGAGGCTGAGGCAGGAGGGTCTCGGCAAGCAGGAGGCCAGCCTGGGCTACTAATTATATTTTCACTTTTAAATATTAAATTCGTTTTTTAATTCCAGTGGTAAAAGGAGATGATGTAATTAGGAATAGATGGGAACATGGAACACTAATCAGAGCCTATAGTTGATGGGCTTAACTGCTAAAAGTATGTTTTGTTATCCTCATTTGTCAATAAACTTGTGAAAATGTAAAAAAAGGAATGCAAAAATATAACAATTTACAAATGCAAAGGAATGCAAAGAGAGGTGGGTGTTCTGACAGACGCAGCGCAGGCACAGTAAGCAGCGTGACAAGCTTCAAGGCCCTGTGATCAAATGGTTTTGAAGTCACATCTCTAATTCCAAACCCCAGTTCTTTCTGCTGCCTCAGTTTATCCTGATGAGTTATGCTAAGTCACAGGTGTCTGGCTTGTGCCTAGAAGTCCCCCCAAAGCTGCAGGCAGTCACAGGTGGGGCTTTTTTTGGAGTATGTGAATCTAGAGTGTGTGGTGCAGGGAGCGATTCACGGTGCAATGCTGGGCTGCAGGGGGTGAGGGTGAAGGTGTGAGTGCTGCCCACCCGAGGCAGCCGGGGTGGGGCATAAGGAGTAGGAAGAGCTAGGGTTGTCTCTTGTTGCTTTGCTACCTTGTGTCCCCATGAGCTGTTCCTCCTCTGTGCTGCTGCCCTGCCTCGGAGTCTGCAGATTATGAACTGAAACCTCTAACAGGCTGTGAGCTTGGGCATCAGGTGTTTTGTCTCAGCAATGAGTAAAGTAATACAGACAATGAGGGTCCTTGGAAAGTATGAAAGAGAGAGAGAGAGAGGAGAGGAGAGGAGAGGAGAGAGAGGAGAGAGGAGAGGGAGAGAGAGAGAGGAGAGAGAAACAGAGACAGAGAGACAAAGACAGGGAGAGATAAATAGAGAGAGACAGAAATGGAGAGACAGAGACATAGAGAGAGATAGAGACAGAGACAGAGAGAGAGACAGAGAGAGAGACAGAGACAGAGAGGCAGACAGACATACAGGCAGGCAGGCAGGCAGGCAGACAGACAGACAGACAGACAGACAGAGAGACAGAGAGACAGAGAGAGATAGAACTGTCAGGAGCGATGTGATTGGGGGTCTGGCATAAGGACCACTGCAGCTACGTGGAAGCCTCAGTCACCACAGCTTGCGGCTTGGCCTGGTCCTTGCTCACCCTTTCTTTTCCCCAGGTCCTCGGTGGCCCAGGTGCAGGACACCCAGCAGCCTTGGGTGACCAGGAGGATGTGTCCCCCAGAGAGTGCCCTCCAACCCCCCCAGTTCCTCCTGCTGGTAGGGATCCCTGTGGCTAGTACCCTGCTTCTGGTTCAGTGTCTCTGGTGGCACTGTCCCCGTTGGTGGCTGCTGGGGTCCTGCTGGAAGCCAGACAGCCACCAGGAGCCAGGGATCCCGTCCACTCCACCACTGGAACTCGAGGTGCCGGGGCCGTTTGCGCCTGCCACGCTGCCAGAAATGGCTGCCTTCTACCAGGAGCTGCACACGCCCACCCAGGGCCGGACGGTCACCCGCCAGCTGATGCACAAGCTCCTGGTGTTCTCGGCTCGCGAGGTGGATCACCGCGGGGGCTGCCTGCTGCTGCAGGACACTGGCATCTCGCTGCTTATTCCACCAGGTAACAGCCCCCGGCGTTCAGACTGCATCCGGTGTGTTTGTGTGTGGGGGGCTGGGTCTGGGGCACCCTGGGACTGCCCTGCCGAGCCACCTTCCAGCCCTTTTTAAATTTTGATTTTGAGACAGGGTCTCACTAAAGTTGCTAAGTTGCCTGGGCTAGGCTTGAACTTGCTGTCTTCCTGCCTCAGCCTTC